CTTGTTGATATCATGGTCCTATGTGATGCAATGATCCAATTAATAGTCTTGAGTTTTAAGAGATTCAAAGACCTATATCATTAGACTTGTTATTGTTTGATTTTTCATTGGACCTTACGCTTCACTCACTTAGCTCAATTCTTATTTTAACCGTTATACCCTTTTGAATATATGTCATTTTAATTTTAACCCAAACAGATTTATAAACTTGAACATCTAAGATCTATTCGGTCATAAAACACCAAACATGGTACCTACCTCCAAAAAACAAAACTAATTAATTAGGAGCAGGCAAGAGGAATTTTGCTTTTGAAATTATAAATAATAATTTTGGGATTAAGTTAATTTGAATGATCGAGTCGAGATAGAAACGTGAAGCAAATACAAGTTAGAGCAAAGAAGAAAGTGAACACGAATGAGCACCGTGTTTCGAAGGTTATCAAGCATTGCAACTTTGGCGAGGGCATCGAGATGCATGTTTGTTTCGTTGATAGCGCCCTCCTTAACGGCACTCACCCATTCTCACTTATTTATTTATTTATTTTTTAAGTTCAAAGTAACATTCTCAATCAAGGTTTAGCCAAATACAGCGAGGACCTCCTCTCATCATCATCACATTCTCATTTTAATTAAATAAAGCGTAGCCTCTTCCTCAACCAACATATATCACTCAATAAATGCTAATCTTGAAAACAGTAAGCTACTCAAAGACCAAGTTAGGATTCAATAATGACAAGAGTCTCGAGATTGATCATTGAAACAATTTGCATAAATTTTAGTAGGTGGCAGAGCGCGTATAAACACGCGCACGCATGCACAAGGTTTTGTTGAATGATAATTAGTTAATTACATATACGCAGCCACTTCCCTGTTTGGCTGTTTCGAACAAAAATGATAATACGGGCATATAAGTAGCTAGGTGTCAATGTGTGATTGGGTGTGCATACATGATCAAGCAATTGGGCTGGGGTCCAAAACATTTAATAATTAATTTACGAAATATCATTTAGCAGCGGCCGAAACATCGAGCACGTGGCTGAGTCATCAGCACTCAAATTTGGACGAATCAAAATGACACCCGGTGAGGAAGCAGATCCTCTCTGCAGCGCTCCCCTGCATCCCTCCTCATCCTTCTTCTTCTTCTTCATCATCTCTGTCCTTAAATTAATAAGGAATATTCGTGTCAATTCAATTGTGTAACAATTTCATGGATATTTTAAAAATATCTTCATTATATTTATTTAATATGACTGCATATTTCAGAACTTAAACTCAAGATCACATGATAAGTTTATTCAATTTCCTAAACCAGTTGAATCAAAACAAATAATTTTAAATTCTTAAAATTTAACCTGAACAATGTATAATTGCAATAAAATAAATAAATATTTAAATTTTTTTGATTTAATAACAACATGCAAAACTGTGCTCTGCAGATCAAATTCTAACAGTTTAAATTTATTTATTTATTTTTATATGATAATTATTTTATAAAAAACTAAATTGGTTGAGAAAAATAATTAAATCAGAGCCATTCACTTTATAATTTAATGGTGAAGATGAGATGAGGAGAAGAAAAGAAGAAAGAGGATTAGGAGAGGATCTGGACCCATCAGGGTAACAAGGGTTGTTGGGTTTATAGATTAATGGGTATATTGGTGGCCGGGAGTCAAGTTCTGCCACCTCGTAGCCAGTAATTAACTAGCCTGTGAAACATATTTGCCCTCCTGCAAAGAGATTTGCACCGGTATTAGCACTGCAAATTACAGGTTATTACTTTATAAGTTAGGTAAAGAAGGCCAGGGAATCTATTCTTGGCTTATGCGAGAGATTTATAGTATATTTTACTTGGTATATACGAGAGGATATATCTTATAAATTGCATCCTCTCTGCTTACATTGCTAACATTTTCAATTGATAGTGATGTGTTCATCATGCTATTAATAATATTCAAAATAATATTTAAACCCGAGTTCGTTGGGTTGATCTTGTAGCTTTTGTGTTCCTTAAAATTAAACAATTCCAGGCCACGCAGTTTAGTTCCAATGAAATGACGAAGAGGAATATGTTAATATGAGAATTGTCTTTTTCTAATATATAAATATCTATATTATTCAAATGAAAATTGTGAGAAATAAAATTCATAATGTTTGGACTTAAAATGAACCGTCAAACTCAAAATCACAGAAAATATATGATCATTAATTGTCAAGACTGTTAAGTAGACATGGGATTGTTATCTAATGTATCCCAAATATCGTGGAGTCATGTTTAGTAATTACAAATATTTTACATACAGGTTAAGGGCAGCAATCTCAGGCATGTAATTATAAAACGAGCTCAACTGCCACAATTAAAGAGGGGACAATCTACATGAGAAACATACTTCAACTTATTTTTCAAATTCAATTTTTCTTGTAATGTACAATTAGACTTAAGGTTTTTTATAGTTACAATTGTAATAACTAGTACTCCATTGTTATTAATCCAATCACCTTTACATTAGTTTGTTTATATCTTCACATCCAAATAAATTGTAAGGGCGTTCGAAAATCCTTTATTCATATTTAAAACTCTACGTTTTTTAAGCACTTGATACTTTGTTATTCAAACACAAGTTGTAACAAACACATGATTTTTTTTTTAACATGCGTGTTGCCTTTTTTAAAGCTGACCGATTATATGCGTGTCAGTCAATCCTTCATAGAATTGGATGTGCATGTATAACATTTTAATTAATTTACTCATCAATGAACATTATGGAATCCATTTATATTTGTAAGAAGATATAGAATTTGATGCACCGCGGTTGCTGAACATGTGTTCCGTATTGAACTTCTTTAGGTTAAGGTACGAGAATCGGATCGTGAATACATGTTAATTAAATGCTCACTGCAACTCGCTAGGGAATTACATTACATTGCAATATTTTCTACAGCGCGTCGATCCTATTCAGAAGCTAGCTACCTTAAAATTTCGAAACTGCATTAACCTTTGATCCCTCCTCTGACTATTAGCTGTTGCAGTCACCAATATGGCGTAACTAAGCTTGGAGGTTCAGAGGCAAACTAATAGAAAATAGAAATTCATGAGCAACGCAGTATATATTTCATTACCGCCGCGTTTAGTATTACGTAAATTTCACGTACGCCTTATGCAAGTTTTGAAGAAACCTGTTGATGTGTTTGGACTCAAAGATCAAGGGCGAAAATGGGTTTATAAGCTTGACTCTTCATTAAGAAGCAGATGATGGATTGTCGGTGGAGTTTTGTGAACTTGATAATGTTTATAGCCAGTTTTAATACTGGAATATGAGTGGACGAGGATGACAACACAAAATCAATATGCATCCTTCGCCGTTGTCAACATATGTGCACCTTCCTTATCGTTTGGTTAGAAACATGACTACCATTAAGTGGGCGCCAAACGTCGGGGATACGTACGATAAGCAAAATGATTTTATACTTATTCGGCCAAAAACAAAATGATGTTATATTTACAACTGAACAAATTAACCAAATTGAGGGAGCTCTTTCTTGACATTTTCGAAAACTGAGCTTTCATTTTGATGATTTCGATCTGCGCTTGCGTGGTCACAGGCACTTTTATTTATTAAACAAATTTATTTGACAATTAATTTACTCCTAATCAATTTGTCCTCGCTGGTCTTGTTGGCATTGCCGAGCGAGAGAGAGAAAAAAAAAAACATTTTGCCTGTTCTCGCCATTTTCATGAAACAAATTAAAATTATAAAACCCTGACCACAGTTCGCGACAATAACCACTGACCTGTTTGCGTTTAAGATGGTCAGCTGATGAATGATGATTGACTATTGGCAGAGTCGGATCCAAAGCCAAGGCGTACCAGGGCTTAACAGAAATTAACACTTCCTTTATTTAAAAATATAAAATATTTTTAATTGAATCTCAACTTTCAATAAAATAATTACTTACTTTTAAACTAACTCTATATTTTTATATTTATCTCTATCAAACATCCTATAATAAATATAAATTTATTCATCAATAAGGACACTTTAAAAAAAATCAATGATTACACCTCAAAAGATTAAAAATATCTTATATTTTTAATGGAGAGAATAATTTTTTGTTTCCTAGAAATAAAAAATATGTTCAAAACTAAAAATTAAACCAAAAAAAATATGCAAGTAATTCCACTATAAATATGCAAATAAATGCTTGTAACTTTTAATGACAAAATATATTTTTATAAAATAAATGTAATGAATATCTCAATTGTATTGCACGTGATAAAATCATAACAGATACAAAACTAATGAAATGCCTGCCTTCCCAGCCACTTTCTACTCTTTCGTATATTTATCACATGCTATATCCCAAACAGTAACGCTCCTATTCTGGTCCAAATTTGTGGGTAGCAGATCACCATGCTCATCTCTATCCCCCAAGAAGTTTGTTTCTTCCGTTCTTTGACTTTCTCCCTCTTCGATCGGTCTCTTTCATGCTCTCTTTCCCTCTCAACTTTCTCTCTCCTTCGGCTCAGGGATTCTACCATGCATTGCTAGAAAATTAAATATAGATTAAGCGAGGGGCAAGTTCCTAATTAAATGACTTTTTTCCTTGTTCAATTGAAATTAAATTAGCGAATGACGAATTCTCATACTAAAAACAGCTCGTTAAATTTAGCGAATAACTAGTCTTTTTTTTCATTAAATTGATGAGAAAAATGTAGGGAGGCTTGTTTATTCCTCACTAATTTTGTTGACCAACAAAATAAAATAAATTAAATGATTAATGTGCTACATCATCCCTTTATACGTGTCACATGGCACCACCCCAGGCCTCTATACGTGATTGTATGGAATTCATTTAACATTAACCATCAAAGGTGAGAACCTTATTGAGAATTCAGGAGGGTGGGTTTACTGTCTGCCTTTCGGATGGACCCCACAGCTTTGCGATGAATATAATATAAAAGGGCACTAAACTAGACTTTGGATCGGCAAACCCCATCTCACTTCTTACCTTCATCACACCCTTGATTCACTTCTTGGACCTCCCCTGTCTCTTCCTCCAGCCCCTTCCTCTCCCTCTCACCCTCCCTCTTCTCCACGCTCCATCGCCGTCTTCATATATCCTTACGTCTCTCTCACTCCACTGCAACGTATACCGGCTCACACTACCCTACAAACACCCCACCTCTCTCATGACGAGCTTGCACACCTCAAGCTCTGCTATCCCCATCATGCACATCTGCCCGAGTATGGACTCCGTCTTTGAACTTGAATTCTCCGGCGACAGCACCACCACCACCACTCCCACAGACCACGACGATTGGAACCGTTGGTCCCCCCTCGTCAACTGGGAAGCCTTCACCGGCGGCCAAGATGACTTCCAAGACCTATTAGAGTCCATGATGGACGAAGCTGCCGGGATCCTCGGCCCCCAACATGGAACGGAAGAAGCCTACAACTCGGCGAACTCCTCTTCGACGGAAGTAACCGTGATGGGCGAAGAAGCAACCGACGGTGTCGAGGATTTCAAGGGCCTCAGGCTGGTGCACCTTCTGATGGCAGCCGCCGAAGCCCTCACCGGCGCCAACAAGAGCCATGATCTGGCTCGAGTGATATTGATTCGGCTCAGGGAGTTGGTTTCCCCCACCGACGGGTCCAACATGGAGAGGTTGGCGGCGTATTTTACGGAAGCCTTACAGGGATTGCTAGAAGGCGCAGGGGGTGCACAGAATAAAAGCCACCACAAGCATTTCATCGGCAGTGGACCCCACCGCGAGGACCACTCTCCACTGGACATGCTGGCCGCCTTCCAGCTCCTCCAGGACATGTCCCCCTACGTTAAGTTCGGCCACTTCACGGCAAATCAGGCCATCCTGGAGGCCGTGGCCGACGAGAGGCGGGTTCACATAGTCGATTACGACATCATGGAAGGCATCCAGTGGGCCTCCTTAATTCAGGCCCTCGCCTCCAAAGTCGATGGCCCACCTGGCCCACACCTCAGGATCACCGCATTGTCCAGAAGCGGAAGCGGAAGAAGATCCATCGCCACCGTTCAAGAGACGGGTCGTCGTTTGATGGCGTTTGCGGCTTCCGTGGGCCAGCCATTCTCATTTCATCAATGCAGGTTGGACTCGGACGAGACATTTCGACCTTCGGGCCTGAAGCTAGTTCGGGGAGAGGCCATGGTGTTTAACTGCATGTTCCATCTTCCGCACCTCGCTCACCGGGCACCCGAATCGGTGGCGTCGTTCCTGAAAGGAGCGAAGACGTTGAATCCGAGACTGGTGACATTGGTGGAGGAGGAGGGCGGGCCCAGCGGGGATGGGGGGTTGGTAAGTCAGTTCATGGACTGCTTGCACCATTACTCGGCGCTTTACGATTCGCTGGAGGCGGGAATACCCATGCAGAGCGGGGCGAGGACACTGGTGGAGCGGGTGTATTTGGGGCCCCGAATAGCGGGAGCGGTGGCGAGGATATACAGAAACGGCGGGGACAAGGAGAGAGGGTCGTGGGGGGACTGCTTAGGGGAGATGGGGTACAGGGGAGTGGCCATAAGCTTCGCCAACCATTGCCAGGCCAATCTGTTACTGGGACTGTTCAACGATGGGTACAAGGCAGAGGTGCTGGGTTGCAATAGAATGGTGTTGAGCTGGAGGTCCAGGCGTTTGCTTTTCGCCTCTCTCTGGACTTCTTCTTCCCCCGTGGCTCCTTCTCAATCATTATTCTAGTCATATCCGTTGTCGCTTCTCTCTTTTAATTGGTTTGATCTTCTTCTGCTTTTGTGCTTGGAGACGCTACTTGATGAATCGTGAGGTCTTTTTAAGAGTTCTCTATTGAATAATGAATGCTTCGTCAAATGCTTCAGGAGATGTTTGGCGAAGGAGCTAGTATGGTTTCATACGCCCACCCAGCTGCTTTATTCATGTTTCCCTTTAATTTCTCCTCCGATCCTTTCCATCAGTATTTCCAAATGGAGGCACGTGTTGAAGGCTTCCCATTGCTCAGTGCCACTGATCGTAGGGGTACCTTTTGTTCTCTGGAGTACCCTCGGATCCGTCTGAGAATTTTTATTTCCCATCCACGGAGGCTTTTGCACTCTCGGATTCTTCAAATCTTATTGTTTTACAATCGATCCATTTATATGTACTTTACTTTGCCTGGAAAGCCTAAATCTAAATCTTTTTCTTATCAAGAACGTAAAATGTATAAAATATTTTTAAATCTCAAATTATGTGCATTTATAACTTGCTAAAATGCGTTTATAGTTAAATAACAGTTATTTACAACTTAATTTCTCCAATTTCATTTATCAGTCATATTTTAAAAAGTTTATTTTTTCATTTATAAGTAATAATGTGACTTTTTAAGCAACATTTAAAAAGTATTTCTTAAATTTCCCTTTTATAAGAAAGAAAAAATAACATGATATTATTTTTTGAATTTATTATAAAGAGACATATTTAAAATTTTATACACTTTTATTCCTTATACATTTTTGCATTGGTGTTAATTAAGTAGGTAAAAATGACCTACAAAAAGAACCAGATGAATACAAAGGAAAACTATGGGCCTATTTGATTTCTATTCTCATTTTTTTAAAAAAACTATTTTCTAATACAGTTTTTAAAATTATTTTTAAAACAAAATAGAATACAAATTTATTTGGTTATGTCAATTTAAAAATAATTTTAAAATTAAAAAAATAAATTAATAGTGATGGTTATAGACAGTCAATGGTGGTGATTAATAACAAAAATTGATCAAAGTAAATATAATTTTTAATAATCAAATGTAATATATTTAAAAACAACAAAAATAGAACGAAAACAATTTTAAAATAAAATGAAAATAACTTAAGGTTGTTTCTATTTTTTATTTTTAAAAAAGTAAAAACAATTTTGAAAATGATTAAATGAAAAGCATTTATTCAAATAAATTTTTAATTTTTTTATTTTTAAAGACAAAAAATAATTAGAGTGGTCGTGTATTTAGGGGTGGACACAGTAATTTGAGGTTCCGCACTGCCAAGATGATAAGTTTGCGTGTTCGTCATACATGAGATTGGATCAGGCACTGAGGCACGCATGATACACTACTATTTGTCCAACCAGGTTCACAGTCACACAAATATAAACCTAACGGCACGTATCCATAGCAGTGCCTATTATAATATTAATAGGGCCGGGGTATGAGGATTCCCGATTCCCTCTTCTGGCAGGCAAAATTATACTTCCTTCAATCCTATTTATAAATTATTTTTATTAATTTTATCAATATTAATATAATAAAAATAAAAATAAATAAAATTTTAAATATAACCCTCAAATAAAAAGTAAAAAATAAGTCAATTATACCATATTATTTTTTCTGTTTTTCTTTTTCTTGCTTTTTAAAGGTAATTTAAAAATTTTAATTTAAAATAAAACAATTGTATCAACAAATAATTTATAAAGATAACTTAATTTTAAAAAGTAATTTATATACTGAATCAAAGGAGTAGCGTATATGTCATGTGTGTGTGTTTTCTGTCACTGAAAGAAATGAAAAGGGGGAGCGTCAACAGTTTGGTAGGCGGCATTTCCCTCTCTTGCATGCGTGTTAGCCAGTGGAGGAAGATTCCTGGGAATGTTCCCATACATGTACATCACTCTGTTTGGATTTGCATAGTAAACAAACAAATTAATAACTCATTCTATAACTACTACTGCCACTACTAAACAATTGATTTCATGCTCTTGCTTTTTGGATCAGAAGCAGCGCCTTTTGTCTTACCTCTTGCGCAGGACGCAGGCTGGTGGCTAACTCCAGCTCGACCAATTACTCAAGCAGCGTGATCAGTGATCCCCATCCACATACATTAACAAAGCATATTAATCAGTGCTGGATCGGAATTCGGAAATGGTAATGAAACTGACATTCTTCCTTCTACTTGTAATTAATGGACAACCAGAGCTGATTAATTATATACAGTCCTGGATCGGAGTTCTTTAGCATCTTTCGCTGAACAAACTCTCTATCATGGTAACGCGCGTATATTTATAGTATTCTCAGAGGGGAGGAGAGAGACGGAATCCGACATGATCATACTTTTCCTTAATTAACATCTTGCCAGCCAATTGTATTCTTTTTTGGATTTCAATGGTTTGATCAATCTTTCGCGGATATAGCAATTTTATTTTGTTGACAGGTGTTGTATATTGTCGTATTTGATGCCTCCTGCGAACGCTCGAAGCTGCGGCATGAGAAGCTCAAGGGACAATCATACGAGGATGTCGTCACTTGGAGGTATCGACCGTATGGCGTATGCATCAAATTCAGGGATTGATGCGTAGACGTCCGTTGAATGTTCCATAACCTCTATCAGCTTTTAATTATATAGTACTCCTTCCGTTTGCTATACACAAGAATAAAACTGTATCACATATATAGTTTAAGAAAATTAATTAATTATAATAATTATATTTAAGAATAAAATAAATGAACTAAAATATTCTATATTAATCAACATAAACAGACATTAATTATTTCTCGTTAATGTAAAACATGAGAAATGATTTTGAAAACATGTAATAAATGCTTATTGGAATGAGTAATTTTACTTATAAAAAAATACAAGTTAAAGGTGATAGTTTCTTTAACAATAAAAAACAAAGGAAGTACATGGTTAGGGTGAATATGAGCAGTCAATTTATAAAAATTATAAAAACTTTTAATATTAAATTAAATTATCCAAATTAAATTTATATTATTCAAATTGTTGATAAGGTAAATTTATTAAATTTTTTATAATTTTTATTTTAATAAATAAGAAATAAAAATATAAAATAAAACATGTAAATCTAACACCCTAATTCTAACAATAAGTCTATTTTTTCGTGAGCACCTAGTGTCATAGCCTGCCCCACTCAAGCTCTGAAGACTTAATGGGGCTTGGATCAAGCCATAATAACACCACAAGGATGAGCGTCATTTGATCACTTACATTAGTGCATTTCTTAGACTAGAACTTAACACCTTTAATTAAGAGAAAACAACTCTTGTCAATTAATTCAAGTACTAATAGGCTAATGGTGAGTCCATTAATTCAAAATGCATTGACAGAGGCACGTACAGTCATATGCTGAGTAATAGAATCTCTTTATTCTTTAGCCTGGTCATCCTTCTATTATAAATAAGTTCGATGTCAAAATGAGGTGCACCCTAGACTCACAGAGGTCTTCTCTTTTGCTTAAAATAAAAGGGCTGTATAGCGAAAAGGGCTATTTTGGTGGAAGGATTGAAGGCTGTTGGTTTCAAGGTATTCCCAACCAGTGGAACATACTTTGTGGTTGTGGATCACGCGCCCTTTGGACTGGAGAATGATGTTGCTTTTTGCGAGTATCACATTAAGGATGTTCGAGTGGTGGCCATTCCTACCAGTGTATTTTACTTAATTAATCCAGAACAGGGAAAGAACCTACTGCGATTTACATTCTGCAAGGACGGACAAACTTTGAGGGCGCCAGTTGAGAGGATGAAAGATTAAAGCAAAGTGATCACTGATCAGAACTGAAACTAGTTCTTTTTTTTTTTTTTTGGGACTAGGAGAACTGGAACTAGCTTGAAGCCCGATTAGTCAGGGGATGAACGGTCGTCGAAAGTATCACATTTATATATTGAAGGCGATGTCGTTTCTAGAAATAATCATGTCATTGAAGTTATGGGGATTTCCTGGTTGCTGATGGAAGCTAATCCGCCTCTTCAGAGTTCATTAACATTTTCGGCCCTCTAGCACTGATCCAACTCCAAAGCATTGCCCCCCAATCCCCAAACACCCCCCTCCCAAAAAAACAAAACAAAACAAAACAAAAAATAAAAAGGACCCCAAGCCCTCTTCTCTTTTCCTTTATAAAGTTAACGTTTTTTTTTTTTTAAACTCCAGACGTGATTGCATGGGATAAATAATGACTTTCTAACAACTTTCTAAATTGAAAAAAAAATACTCAATTTAAGAATATATTAATTTGGATGTCATTTGAGGTGAGAGATAAAATAACAAAAAAGAGGGAAAAGACGAATAAAATAAATGATGATGATGGGACAGAATGCTTGATGGAACTATTTTGCTTGTAAATATTGCGATTTGTTTTATGTTTTGTGAACAATTATTATATGCGATTTGATACTAATTCATATTAGGTATTATTGAGTGAGGTGAGACGTGATTCTTTCAATGTGCTTTCTTTCTTTTTGAAGTATTGACCTTATTTGAAGAGTATCAAGTTCATTCTTCTTAATCTAATCATTATTGTTGCCGTACTTTTTATATTTGATAGTTAGATTTATTTCTGGATGGAGATCAATAGCAAACCTATGCTCAACAACCAACATGCACAATTGTGCAAAGATTATGCGAGGAAGAGTAATTGACGTTAAGTACGGTAAATTATTGAGCTTGATAAAATAATCATAAATGATAATGATAACTCAACCTGAATAAGCTTAAAAAAATCATAGAATCAAGATTTGTAATTTAAAAGATTTTCTTTAATTCGAACTTATTCAGGCTGTTTGAATAAAATTTGAGCCAAACCCAAGTCCAAATAAGTTTAGTATGAATACCCAAATTTTTTTATTAATAAAATAAGATAAAAATTGTAAATATTACCTTTTTAAAATAAAAATTAAAAATGGATAAAAGATATAAAATGGAATAAAATAATATTTAACAATTTTAATATTTGGGCCAACTCAAAAGTTTGGATAGATAAGGTCAAGCTTGGCCATATGGCTTTTTTATACATTAAGATATTTTAAATTTAATTTGAATAAGCTTGATTTGAATGAAGACTGACTTGAATAAATTTGACCTATTCAAATTGCCGACTTTAAGTAATTGGAGGAAAGATGCTGGATATCAGAATGAAGATAGAAGACTTCCTTGGGACGAGAATGGGTTGATGCAGACTAGCCCATTCAGCTATCAACAGTTTAAGCATGACCCGTGGGTAAGATAAGCCAGTCCACAGTGTCGACAAATTGGAACGTAGAAAATAGTGGATTAAGCTACCAAGCCCTTTGAACGTGTTTATCTCAATTTTAAGAATAGGCCGAGGCATTGAGCTCACTACACCTACTTACGTGCTGGA